ACGTACGGGTAAGTAGAGGACATTATTCCCCATGTTCGGTGTCATCAGATTACCCAGCTTTTGGTTTTCTGGCATTTCGAGTATGCCTACCAGTACCGTGGATAGCTCTTCATCACGATGGCATATTCTGGGCACGTGAGCAAGTGTATAGCTTGGCTCAATTCACAATTACCAGGATACTATTGACACATGAGTTCCTGCAGGCACATTGTCCGACATCAAATCAATGTGCCGCGATGGCGGTACTGGGGACCACCCTAAGAGAAGTCAACCATGGAAACCAAACTCCATTCATCGTCATTACGTTATTTCCGTCACTATCGAAAGCTATCAACGGCTTCCCCATACGGAGCTGCATCGGCATGGAGACGCCTAGCGGCCGACACAACCTTGTCGTCGACGTCTGCGGGCCTAGCCTAGCGGGACGTAGCAGCCTTGATAGTGTACATCCTCCGCATCAGACCACCCTGAATGGCTCATATCAGATAGGCAGCGCAAACAGGGAGATAGTGAAGAGCCCTCAATCGCAACGACAAGTATGTTTCGAAGAGCCTGCGAGATTGCTCAATTGCCCCCGGCAAATACAGTTTCGCCTGCCGATGCGATCGGAAACCTTGTCTGTACCTATTCTTCTACCCGTCCCAGGCTGGCGGATCATTCACCAGGTCCTCAGGATATGTATTGATTTGGTTAGCAGGCTGTTAGTAGCATAAGAAGGCCTACGACCGTGACTCTGGCCTTCGCTGGGTTTCTTTTCAACGGCTCATTATCCTGGGTGTTCTTGACGTTGAACTGATGTTGCGCTTAATTTAACTATTCACGTACATTGAACGGCCATCGGTCTACACACCAGGTGTTGTGGTCAAACGACCTGATAAGCAGCCATTGAATTGGTCGCTGCTGACTCTCATAACGTCTCTCTTTGAAGAGTCCATTACTTGTCCCGTACCGACCTTCTTCGGCCTTCTATCTCGCACCTCTACACCATAAGGGTACCACCGACCTTTGACGTACGAAGATGGCCGCCCTCCCAACTCCCAGCAAAGTCCCCCTGGAGACCGCGACCATAGACTCGGAGCCCGGCAAGCCTGCCGCCGGCCAGCCCAGCCGCGCCGACGACGTCGCCGCGGCGTACACCTCCTACTTTGAGGGCGCGGACGACTTCTACACCCGCAAGGAGGAGAAGTCGCTGCGGTGGAAGCTGGACCGCCGCCTCATCCCCATCCTCTGGTTCAACATCATCCTCGGCGCCACCGACAAGGTCAGCACGTCGACCGGGGCGCTCTACGGCATGCGCGAGGATACGGATTCGACGGGCGACCGCTACTCGTGGCTGGGCAGCGCGTTTTACTTTGGCTATCTGTTCTGGTGCTTCCCGGCGGCGGGACTGTTGCAAAAGTTGCCGATTGCGAAGGTGATGTGTATGGTTATTTTCTGTAAGTCTTCGCTTGCCAACCAGGCTGCAGCAGGATTTCAGGGGTCAAGGAGGGAGGCTGATGAATTTGTGTAGTATGGGGTATCATTCTTGTGGCGACGGCCTATGTACACTCGTTCCCTGCCATGATTGCCCTTCGTGTCCTCTTGGGCATCCTTGAGGCGCCCATTATCCCGGGAGGCTACCTGATCCTGAGCATGTGGTATTCGCGACACGAGCAGTCGCTTCGATCAGGCCTCATGTACACGAATCTGTCCGTCATACTATCGGGCCCCATCGGCTACGGCATCGGCGCCGTCGCGGGCGGCCATCAGTGGCGCTGGTACTTTATCACCCTGGGGAGCATGTCCATGGTCTGGGCCGTGGTGCTAGGTATTTTCCTGCCTGACAACCTACCCAGGGCCAAGTTCCTGAACAAGCGCGAGAAGGCGATCACGGTGGAGAGGCTGCGAGCCGATCAGACGGGAATCGAGAACAAGACATTCAAGAAGGAACAGATGATCGAGGCGTTCAAGGACCCCAAGACGTGGCTCATGTTTGCGTTCAATATCTTTGTGTCCATCCCCAACGGCGGCTTGACGAGTAAGCTCTCCCCTCGTTCTCTTCATAAGACTAAGTAGGTAGCGAAACTGTCTGCTGACCCCGATCTGCAGACTTCCAATCCTTGATCATTAAGGGACTGGGCTTCAGCTCCCGGCGTGCGCTACTCCTAGCCATGCCCGAAGGCGGAGTGGCCACCATCTCGGCATACTTGTGTACCGGCGGAGTCTGGGCTTTGACGCGCAAGTGGCCGAAGCTGCAGTGTCGCGTTGCCATCATCATCGCCGGTGAGATCGTGGGCATGGTCGCCTCGGTCTTTTTGTATACTCTTCCTTTCTCCCATGTCGGAGGACGCCTCGCATCACTCTGGATGGCCAAGTTCTTCCTCGGACCTTACATCTTGATGTTGGCTTTGAACGTCTCGAATGTCGCCGGCCATACTAAGAAAGTGACGGTGCAGGCCATCATCTTCATCGCCTATTGCAGTAAGTCTCATCGTCTTATGACGAATACACATCAAACGGTATTGACATTTCTCCCAGTCTCCAATATTATCGCGCCGCAATTCTTCAAAGCTGACCAGGCGCCCCTTTATCCGCTGGGCATGGGTGCAATCCTTGGTAGCTATGTGCTGTCCATCATCACGATCGCCTTGTACGGGCTATACTGCTATTATGAGAACTGTAGGCGTGACTGCATTGACAGCGCGAGGGATCAGCGCGTGCACATCGACACGGATTTCAAGGATTTCACCGATAGAGAGAACATACATTTCAGATATGTTTGGTAGACATTCGCTAGTGAGTATATTAAAGATTTCGGAATCTCTATGATATGTACAGTTCTGAATGATCTTCCGAGATCGACCGTCTCTTTGTACCTTTCCAAAGTGATCGTCTCAGCTGTAATCCATGTACTCTTTCGCAAAAGCGCTTCGTTGAGGAACAACGCATTAATTATTATTATCTCCTCCTCTTCAACCTTTATGTACGTGTACAATAGCCACACACTCTTACAGGCTCTCCCCTCCCCTCGAATGTCCAGTCCGGGGACTGGAAGGATCGGAGGTCACCAGCCTCGATCGATACAGCGCCGGCCATGCCGCCTGCCCAGCTTTCTCATACCAAGTCACGGCGTCTACTTGCGCATCATCGAAGTGTACTGTGTCGCTGTGGCGATCAATCCATACAAAAGGGGGAGTCTGGCCAGGCTGCTGCCGTATGGCGTCCGCGACCACGATCGGCGTCAGACGCTCCGACACAACGTTCCTTGCCTCGCGGTTCACCTGACTGAGGATCATGGCTGGGACATGGCGGTCCGAAACGTAGAGGGGCCATGGCGTGTTGGTGAGTTGGACGCCCGGCGGCACAATTCCGAGACTGAGATAGGGCGGCACGGGCTTCACCGAGAGGGCCCATTGACGGCTCGGTGGGTCTTGGTATGGGCCAAAAGAGAGAGCAGAGCGCCAGATTTGGCGACGAATTTCAGGAGGGAGGTGGGAGAACTTGGGGAAGAGAGGTGGTGGTGGAGGAGAAGGCGGCGGCAGGGGTGCTGATACTGGAGTGGCAGCTGGAGTTTGAAACGAAGCTGCACCTGGGAATGGTGCTCGTGTTGGTGTTGAAAGCTCTGCGCCGTTGGGCGATATCTCGGGTGCTTCCTCGGCCTCGAAAAAGCGCCGAGCTGCTTTGACCAGCCGGGCTTCCGCGTCTAGCGTCAGGGCTGCCCCGTTCTCGGCCTCAAGTACTTTGGGGGCTGTAGAGTCGTCAGCGAGGCGTTCCAAATTTGGAGATGGTCCAGATCGTAGAGGATAAGTGTCTCAACTGCCGTGCTCTTATTGAAACAAATCCTGCTCGGGTGAGATGTAACTCACGCTTACTCCCTTTCTTCGGTCGTCCCGGGCGCTTCCCGATCTGCGCCGACTTGGCCCTTACGGCGGTCCGGATCTGGCTCTCGGAATAGCCGGTGATTTTCTGGATCTTCTGTTTGCTAATGCACCCGTCGTAATACAGCGTCCGCACCCGGAACCGCTCCAGCTCCGTCAGATGCTTGGTGTGGACGCCCTTGGGCCGCGGGTTTCCCCGTTTCTCCGGCGTCGGCAAAGGCCTTGCCCCAAATACCGGCGCTGACATGGGCGTCACTGGAGCTGGCGGATGGTAGAACCGCTGCTGGTGGTGGTGCATGGGAGGTCCCGGTGTCCCTGCCTCTGCCTCTGCCTCTGCCTCTGCCTCTACTACCGCTTCTGCGGCTAATTCCGCCTCCAGCTGCGCTTCCATCTCTGCGTCAGTGTCCGGCGAAGCGGACATCGCGGATATCACTGACGCGGTCCCACCCACCTTGAGTTGACAAGGTACAGGCAATGTTGGTGAGAGCGTTTTAGTTGAGGTCAATGGTCGACGCGGGGGAGGCAGTTACTGTAAAGTTTTCTTGTGACAGGTAGTTGTTGATCTTCTTGGCCCGGATGCAAGGCGACGCTGCTAAGCCTCTTTAGGCATAGCTGCTTCTCAATTTCGCCCGTTTATACTTGACAGGGGTGCAAAACATTTGCCCCAGTCCAGTCAGTGCCCGATGCTTTTCAACACATCTTCTTCTTGCCTTGTACAATGATAGACACAATTGTGAGGAAGCGGTATAATTTTGCGTCACTTCCATCACTTACTCATCGGATACGACAGACTTTGTCTGCCATCTGTTGAAATGTACCTTGTATGCTGTGGTCGACAAAGCACTCGTCGGACTGAGGCACTTCTGATACAAAGTCGTATCAGACATATCAAGACTTGCTCTCGCAGCGGTGTATGGAGACATGCTATCTTCAGCCAACTTTGAGTAGCAAGAAACAATACACAGAAGCACACGTAAAGCAGGCATCAAATAAGGAAATGGGCTGTAGAAACTGGGGAAAGCCTAAAGGTAGTGATGCACTACTCATTGCTTAACATGTCGCAGAAGACGAACTGGAGCTCGCAGGGGAGAGGCAAAGCAAATGAAATATACAATAAAATCAAAAGTAACAAATGAACATTTGTGGACTCGGCGGGAATCGAACCTCGCGCTGCCCCTCTTGTACCATACCAAATATAATACAAGAGTCCTCCTATTGAAAGGAGCGGGCGTGCTACCACTACACTACGAGCCCTTGAGGTCTGATGGTTCATTGGAAACCAGTCGCCTTAACCCGCGACATAACGGTTAACCGTACCTGAGACCAATGGGTAATTTTGAGTATAAATACAATTGGAGCTTGAAGGTGATTAGAAGTCATCAATCGTCACACTTCCTTCACATGCACCTCAATCTCAGCCTCGCCCCATGCACTCCTGCTCTTTGTCCCTATCTGTGCAGGAGAAGCCATTACTGACAACTAGGTCCAGACAACCAAGTGCTAAGCTGAAAGGCTCTTCAAATTGAGACTAGTGCACCACTCGCTGCAGCTACTTAGTACCAAAACCTAACGATATTCGATCTCCACAAGTCATGTTGTTGCAAGCTGAGATCACCTCTGGTCGACCTGCTGTCTTGGTTGCCCAGCACCACTCCCTGGTGATAGGACGATTGAGGCTGCCTCTGTAGATATCACCTTCACTTGCTTTGAAACACTTTGTGTTCTCCGTTTAGCCTTTTATAAATCCCTTGTCATCTATCCTCAGTACCCAGACCAAAACTTTGAAATACTGCATGTTGGTAGCATAGAGAACGACAAATTCTGATAATGATGACGAATCGGGCAGCAGTGACTCGGGTGTAGAAATTCAGTGCTTTTACTGACCTAGATGACTTACTCCCTCCATCTGCATCATATTGATATTTCAAGCTACACACAGTCAAAAACACCGAGCTCACGACATAACTAACAGTTGTTTGAACTGCTTTCTGGAATATTGATCTCTGTGTGTATTATCTGATCGAACCTTTATATCCTTGGGTAATATTCCATCAGAAATCTCTTGCCAGGCAGAAGTCGGTTTCTCACCTCTTCTGAATACGCTATCTCCTGACATTTTTCTCCTCCTTCTCCAAAGCCCAGACTAATTCCCAGTAAGCTAGCTGGGTTTACTGTGATGCAACCTGAGTTTGAGCGCAAGACATCATGAAGAAGATTATTTTACTTGAATCTTGGTCGTTGCGTTACAGATCTATGGCTCCACCTGCATATATTCTCGTTTTCCTTCACATGACTGAGTTTGATTTATCACTGTGACAAACAACAGTGGCAAGCATCATATACGGGTGAGATGCATAAGCTTAATCCTCAAACTTCTGGGTACTACTACCCGCACCTTGTTCCACCTCCGTACAGTAAAGGGTGGAGGCGAGGATATCTTGAACTTGTAGGCCTAGGTAACTACAACAATGCTGCGACGAAAACAACATTCATTCTCTATCTGGCTTGAATCTTTGAACTAGATCCTTGTCTGATAGGGTTAGATATCAGATTAGTCGGCCAAATCAGAGTAAGGAGGATTGGATTAGCTCGCCTGCATAACTAGAGGCTACCTACATGAAAGGCATGTAGGCACCTACAACTAACTACGGACTGGCGCTCATGTCGTACCTAGAGCTTTAGGTAGTTATTCCTTGGAAGGAAATTTAGATAGAGGTACTGGCCGACTACATTTGTCTACCAACATTGTATACGAGGTAATTTCTCGGCTTCAAGTGGCGATTTGGCATACGACAATTCCTGTCCAGGGAACAAGCCGTGGTATCCCTCGTATCACGCACGAGGCTTGAAAGCGGGCGAGACATGGCAGTAGCGGAATGATGTAACTGCGCGATGGATGCACAAGAAATCAGAAAGCCAGAATTCGTATTGAATCACGACAAATGAAGAGACAAACCAATCTATCTACCTGGTTTTGTACATCCATGCCACCCTGATATCAGAGGTTGTGACTGCAAGTACTTAAGCCAGGTATTCACTGCTTGCAGTGCGATCAGCTGGCGGCGGCTGAGGGTCAGGCTGCACCCGGCACCAATGATGGACCGTGCTCAAGCTCGTCTTGTTTGCTGCCCAGAGACCTTCGATAAGACTAGATTACCTGCACCGTCAACGAATTGCAAAACCACCTGAAGGTGATACAAAGTGCGCGAACGCCAATTTTTAGCCTCACGGTGGTGCTGAGATTATATTGGAGCTCTGATATCTCCATTGGACCTCGAGAATATTGAGGATCAGGATGCACTCAGGCTCATCCTCCCCAGATCGGTCTCGTCGACCTCGCGACGACAGCAAGGATAGGTCGAGTCGCACCTCCCGGCATGATGACAAATATAGACGCCACGGAAGCAAGAGAGACCGCTCCAGAGACAGGCGACACCGGCGCTCCAGATCCCCAAACTACTCCCGCCATCCGAGATCGGGCTCAAGAGATCGCGGGCGAGACAGAAACAGAGACAAAGACAAAGACCGAAACAGAGATCAGGAGCACAGAAGACATCGCTCACGCGATTACGACAAACATGAGGGTAGCACGTCACAGCGCCACCGTGGCCGCGACAGCAAGGCATATGATGATCAAGACAGAGGTGACAAACAAGTTATCAGGCGTAACGGACCGCTGCCTTCTCAGGCGGACTCCTTTGCCCTAGCCGAAGGAGAAGAGCCCCCCAAGCCCAAAGAAAAGCCCAACTATGGAAGCACTGGTGCCCTCGCCGCTGCCTCCAATTCTGTGACCCAAGCAGACGGTTCCACGATCGTTCTTAAGTACCATGAACCACCCGAAGCTCGTAAGCCGTCACCCAAGGATCAGTGGAAGCTGTTCGTGTTCAAGAGTGAAGAGATCCTCGACACCGTTCCCCTCAGCAGTCGCACCTGCTGGCTAATAGGCCGAGAACTTGCGGTTGTCGACATGGCAGCCGAACATCCCAGCATCAGCAAGCAACATGCTGTCATTCAGTTCCGTTACCTCGAAAAACGCAACGAATACGGCGATAAGATCGGGAAAGTCAAGCCATATCTCATCGACCTCGAAAGCGCAAATGGTACTATGCTCAATTCCAAGAAAGTGCCTGATAGCCGATACTTGGAGTTGAGGGACAAGGACATGATTCAGTTTGGACAGAGCACCAGGGAATATGTGCTCATGCTTGCACCGAAAGACTAGGAACGGGGCAGTGATTACCAGACACAGCTGAATCTGAGCCACCGGCGTCATACGGTTTGGGCAACGACACCATTCGCCCGTTTTGGGCCGATGCAAGCAAATGCACCAAGGGTCTTCGTTCAGAGCCGCATGTGAGGTGCCAACATGAGGGCAAGTGCTTACTTATTGCTGTCCGTGAAGCCGCACTTCTGTCGATGGGAAAAGTGACCGGTCGACCAACCGAATACAGACAGCCCTTCATCTTTACCTCAACCTTACAGGTCGCAGTACATGGGCGAGGTTATCGTCGGTATGACTCAAGTGGGGCAGTGTTTCAGGAATGTAGACCGGTTGCCGTTTGCCTGGAACAAACTCTCCTTGCGTCTGGTGTTCTGAGTGTTGGGTGCACAAAGACTCTGGATCAAAGCGGCTATCGAGGGCCATGGCGGAATGTGGCAGTTGCCACCTCGTGAATACGAAGAGATTCCTGAAGCTGGAAATGGAGCCACGATTACGAGTCTGAATAGATTGGGGTGGTTGTTCGGAGGGTATGCCAAGCGGTGATACCTGTCGCACGTTAAGTGACGCTGCACAGTGATTCCCCATGCCCGACATGTGATGGATCGCCAGGCCACAATGTTCCTGCAGATCCCCAGAAATTAGCACAGTTGACGTGTGGCTTGTGGAGAATGGCGGACGGTGATTGGCTGAAGGATCGCCCTGCTATAGCCGCGAGCTCAACACCGAATACCATGTCCTTCACACCCAAAAGTGTTGCCATCACCCTGAGCGCGGGAGGGCTGGGTGTACGAACCAACCTGCTTCGTAAAGCGACTCAAACACACGAGTATGTGCTCACATCGAGCCGTTGGTTATCACGATGCAAATCGATTTGTGAGATCAGCTAAGCCAAGGCCTCGCGCAAGAAGGGTGCCCACCATCCCATGGAAAGTCGCAAGGTACCCGCAGCACGCGTGACTTGAACTAATGATCTGACGAATGGAGACAAGGTACGGCATGGGAGATGCAAACCATTACTCAAGAGTTCCCGAAAAGTAATATACATCATATATCGAAGCAGCTCGATTTGGATGCATGACCACCCACCTAGGTAGACACAGCACGCTGATGCGCCACCTGGGAGCGAATTCTAGGCTCCCGTGATGCGGCGTTGCTGCGGCTCCAGCGGACCGTTAGGGTCGCCCAGTCAGCGACTGGGGTTCCCCGGCGGCCTTGAATCCTCCCGAAAGGCTCCCGCAATGCGTGCCTACCATGTAGCACTAAGCCGCAGGCTGACGCACGATACCAAAGCTTGAGTGGCATCTAAGAACTTTTAGGCACGTTTTCCGGTCAGCCAAGGTTTCCGTACTTCTTTCTACGGGCCTGAAGCTGCTTACGTATCTTCCAAGCAACCAGACCGAATTCACTTGACCTAATCTCATTTAACATGGGTGACTTGGTAGCTTGTTGGCGGCGCCAGATCCCATAATCAACGATAGAGTTAAGCTCATCCTTTGATCTTGTGGTTGTATAACTGGAGCGCCAATACCAGTACCCGTACCAGGCTCTGTAGCAGAGGAGCACCGTAGCACTGTGGCCAGCCCAGCCCAGCCCAGCCCAGCCCAGTTAACGCAACACAGCAGCTGTGGAAGCAGAGGGTTTTGGCGTTCTTGTTCTACCACCTAGCCGTACTTCGCTTCCGATAAGGTCGAATCCAGTCGGCGATGCTTACCTACAGATACCTGGCTTATTACACATGTCACGATAAATATCTGACGCAAGGTATTTATGAAGCTTCGCCAACCAAAGCTGCATAGGTACTGACTCAAAGGTGGCTAGGTAGCTGGGTAGCTAGGTAGCTAGGTGGCTAGCCAAGTAACCTACTGCTTACAGCCCCTCGTTGGGAACGCTACCAAGCTCTCGGTGGTCAATAAAGGATCGCCTTACATGAACGATGCTAACATTAGCATGCCGAGGAATCTCTTTGCAGCCATTCTCAACCCATCACGTGTGCCTCATCTCTGGCAGCACTAACCTGCACAAGCCTGCCTCC